TGCTAACTGGGGAACCTGAGAAGCTAGAAGACTGAGATTTTTAGGAGATGTTCCCCGTTTAAATAGTTATAAATGAGCTCAAACCCAGCCCCCAGGTATGCGCATTTCCCACATGCGGACCCGCCAGAGTTTTTTTCGGGCAAATTTCTAATTTGTGGACCTGAAAAGCTAGAAGACTGAAGTTTGAGGAAATGTTTTCCGTTCGCGCAGGTGTTAATGAGTTCATGCCCAGCCCTCAGGGATGCGTGTTTCCTACATATGAATCTATGAAAGTTTTTTGCGGGTAATTTACTAACTCGGGAACCAATAAAGCTAGAAAACTGAAATTTTGAAAAGATGCTTCCTGACAGTCCTGGCGGCCAATCTCAGTTCTTTTAGCTGAAAGCATTTGCCGAAAAAATCGGTGCCAGTAGCGAAAAGAGCTGTGGGGAACCTTGCAAAAAACGCATCTTCGCGCTCTCAGTTGGTGCGTGGGCCATTTAGTGTTTGATTATCTAAGAATTCTGGATTTCAGGATGCATCGAGGCAGCACAATGGTTCCGCCAGTTCCTCCAAATAACGGTGGCAATATCAGGTACCTTTTCATCTTTAGTTTCATTAGTTGGATATTTTGGAACGTAAGCTTTCTTCAGTGCTTTGTGTTTTCACTCTGGTTCCAGTTGCCTTAGCGTGGTGCCACAGATGTCGTTTCGGGTCTGCTTGATCCCTAATCTGCTCAGCATTAGTTACAGACCGTTAGCTGATGCCTTGTTCTGTCTGCTACATCGCAAGGCATCTGTAATTTACGTCGATGGAATGTCTGAGTTTGGTTGGCGGGTGATTTTCTCACTTACAAGTCGATAACTTCTTGCACGTTTGCTTAGATGCATACTGCATCGTTTGGTGATCAGTCTGCTGGCGGTCCTGACTTCCTACGCAATCTTACAAATGAAAAAGAAGGAAGAGGAGAAGGGATTGCAACTGAAAACGAGGGAGTGGGGAGGAGAAGGTGTGAAGCGAAGAAAAGAAGAGTAGAAAGAAAGAGAAAATTGCTTTTTGGGGGATGAAGTGTGTTTATAACGGATTGCTGTGACTGTTGAAAGGGAGCGGCCGAGGTGGGGCCGGGGCCGGAAAGGACGGAAGAGGTGGCCCATCAACGGCCGCAACATGTGGACGCCCCTATCAAACGTCAGCAACTCCACTCCCCCTCCTCCAGAAGACTGACTAGCAGAGGCCAGACCTTGTTTGTAAGCTTACTTGAGGTTAAGAAGAAAATGTCTAAAATGAACTGTTTGTAAAATTTACTAATAGAACGCTTCTTCACGAGACTGACGATGGCTCAGCCATTTGAGGGCCACTGGGAAGAAGCGAAAGACTGTTTTGACAGCACCGATTCGTCGACGAAACTATTTATAAAGATCTTTCATTCGTTGGTTGGAACAAGCCACTTGATTTTGCAAAGACACCACATTCCATTACAGCAGGCTTGTCATTTTTTTAACTTCCTCACTGAAATTGGCCGGTTTAGATTTGGTGGACCAATGCCGAATGCACAGCACGGTCGTCGAGCGTTTGCGCCGCAGCCGACAGGCACACCGCCGATGCTTCCACCGCAGCACAGTGCCCGTAACCAAATGCAGAATCGCGGAAGGAAACGACGATTGGCTGATAAAGTGATACCTCTACAGGTAAAAATACTAAAATATACTCTAAACAACCCTGCTAGTTGAAATCAGTTGGATTTCTATGGCTGTCGGCGTGAATCTCTTGACAGTTGTCTGAACTGCTGGTCTAGATCTCACGAGTTTAAGTACTAAGACAGGTGCCCTAGAATCGATATTCGAAGATTTATCGGTAAAATTTAGAAAGTGTTTCTTTTTTGAGCGGCATAGTGATTCTGTTGCATTACGATGATCAAAAGCCATAATTTCGTTGTAGCGCACTTTCACTCCAGCTGTACGATTACCCTGGCCGAAGCTTGTAATGCAGTAAATGGGTATTTCTCCCTATTCGAAATAATGTTTTGCGCAAAATCAATTTGCTGAAGATTTATTTATAAATTTGGAAAAATTGTTTTACTTTTTTGTTTCAATGGATTTTCGTATATCGTTAATCGCTAGTCAGTGTAGTTGAATAAGGGTGGTTGGATACGCTTGTAGTTGCCGTTTTTGATAGTGCATGTGAGTGAAGTTTTTGGCATACAAGGCATTCGTATTAAAACCCGCAAGGGACCAAACATGCAGTTTTAAGGGGTTCATCGACGCCATAAACTGTTTTTGATGAATGGTGAGGCCAAGGAATAATAATAAACTTTTTAGGTCCGGGAGTTGGTGCCGGAGTCGCAAGCCTACATGGATCTATTAGCATTCGAGCAGAAACTTGATGCGACAGTTACGAGAAAGAAGTTGGATATTCAAGAAGCATTGAAAAGGCCAATAAAAGTTAAAAGGCGGCTTCGAATTTACATCTCACACACGTTCATTGCTGGC